TAGGGAAAGCGATTATCTAACAGGCTTGAATCTGATTAAGGGTTTTGCTTAACTTGTACGGAAGCAAAGAGCGCAGTGCTGTTAATTACAGTTTGTTTAGTGTATCGCAGGCATTGTATATGCTACACTGAAGAAGAATTTTGTCCCTTTTATCTTCCTAAAAGAAGGTATGTTTTTCCGTAGTGTTTTTATTTTTTTCTTTATCCTGTTGGACTAGACTGTGGCAAAGTAATCGGGACTCCTTGGCAGAAAGAAGGTGGCCACAGTCTAGTCCAACAGGATAAAGTAATCGGGACTCCTTGGCAGAAAGAAGGTGCTCTGGCAGTCTTCCGTAGCCTCTAAATCCCGCCGCTCCGCTGTTCCTGGGTTGCAGACGAGCGTGCGAGGCAGCCAGGGCCGCGCGCTGGGCGTCCGTCCCGGGCTCAGCTGGATGAGCAGGAGGCTCGCTGGGCATTCCCACGGGGAAGAGAAGAGGTTAACCAGGAACAGAAAAACATGAATGAAATTCATAAAAAGCACAGCCCTCCTAACAGCTCAGCAGTGTCCGTTTTAACCCTTTGTTACATGTATTGAAAGGTTTTGGAAGGTTTAGTAGAAATAAGAGCGTGACAGGTCGGACTTTCAGGGGTATGAGATGTGGTGGGATCAGGGGGCAAAGTGCCCGACCTCCCCTGGCGCAGGAGAAGGCCCGTCTGTAGGAAAAGTGCTGGGCCAGGCTGAACAGGGGCTGGGGAATGGCTTGGAAGTCTGTGTGTACTACGTGGCCTTGTGCTATGGGTTGCATGGGTGGAGTTTTAGGAAAGGTGCTGATGCGTTTGTTCGGATAAATCATCTGGCAGTTGGGAAGAGAACACTAGGGGTTACCCCAGCCTTCAGGTCAGTGAAAAACTCCTGCAGTGGCAAAGCTCTTGGTGAACTATTTTGAAGAAAAAGCATTTTTTTCCACCCTTCTCCCTGAGAAAAAATCCTGGATAAATTTCTTCTGTATGTTGCACATTGGAACAGGATTTCTTTTTTAGGCAATTCTCACCTGTTATCTTAAACAGCTTTCTTCAGAGGCATTAGCTGTTAGAAACTACTTTTCGGTAGTAAGAAAAGAATATTGCATTCTGCATTAACTCGTTGAGCCCTTTTTCTGCCCATACCGTTTGCCGTGGTATGATTCCATTTGCTGGTGTTAATGGGCTGCTTAGTCTTCAGCTCAGGATCATTGCACAAACCCGCTCTGTATGAGATCCGAGATTTATTTTCCATCGTGCTTTAAAGTGAACTCAGAATTGATCCCACGATGTTATACTTTGGAGGGCTTCTTCATTCAGGTTTTAATTATGGAACTGAACACAAGATACGATACACCTTGAGGTGCACACCTGGAAAGGAACAGTCTTTTTGCATACGCTGCAGATTTAAAATTGGTGCAATTGTATCAGAGCTTTTCACAATAACCAATTTGGTTTTAATGTAAATCTATCAATCTGTTTGGACAGAAATTAGTATTTGAGTTTGCATGGATATGCAAGTTCAGGCGGGCACAGGCATGAGGCTGTTTTCCTATTTAAAGAAGTATCATTTAACCTTAAATCCATTCAGTGTGTGTGTGTACATATGTATATTTGTTACAGAAGCGAAACAGCTTATTCAGATCGTATCAGACTGTATCATATGAAATGCAGGTTGAAAAAGCAGGTTATGAGTCGCCTTCTGTTTGTTAACATAGTTTCATGCTAATTGCTTCTCCCTTCCTTTATGTTTACTCTCTGAAAAGCAGTTCCTATTTGCACCAGATGGAGGAGGCAGGGAAGCACCGTTCCTCTTCATCCTGCAGGTTTCCTTCTCTGTCGGAAAGAGAATTCCAAAGTTTGCTCTCAGCTATGAATCTTCTATCCTTTAATATACACTCTTTATCTTTTTAGCTTTTCTGTGATTTGGTTTGTTTTTCTTGGGGAGCTGCTTGTAACATCTTTTTAATGATCTGCTTTGACTTCCCAGAGCATCAGAGAACCAGAAAGGAGCTGGAGGGAAGAAGACCCCAATGTTGTGTGGTCAGTATCCAACTAAGAGTGAGGGGAAGGAGCTGAAGATAGTGGTACAGCCGGAAACCCAGCACAGGGCTCGTTACCTGACTGAAGGCAGCCGGGGCTCGGTGAAAGACCGGACACAGCAAGGCTTTCCAACTGTAAAGGTAGGCTGCTGAGCGTTAGGTGATACAGGGGCTCCTTTCCAAGGGATTTGTCAGTAGAATGGGAACTGGTTCAGTTCAAATAGGTATAGAATCTCTGCTTTTAGAGGGAAGCGGGGAAACTTGGCAGTCTCTTCTTGCAGGTAACAAGTCGTCTGTTTGCATCACAGAGTTGCAGGAGGAAGGAAACTTTATGTTGAGGCAATGATACGTAATCTGTGATGCATGTCCTGTTAGACTGCAGTTATCCGAACTGTGTAAACAGACACTGGAAGCATACACAGCTAGGACAGTGAAATGCTGTAGCTGATTGCTGACGACAGGGGGTCATCGTTAGACCTTATTGGTAAGGACATAAAGCTAGGTTTCATTTAAAAAAATAAGTGGTGTGCTTTTGTTTTGTAGTTTTGTGGGGGTTTTTTGTTTTTTTGTTTTTTTTAAAGTATCTGAATCTGCATATCCGGTGTCTGTCTTTCAGGTAGAGCCATAAAGATCTGAGATGTACTTCACAAGTCATACTACTCAGTATGGTTAACAGTAGTGAAGTACATGTGGATTTGTAGAACTGGAGAACGGGGGGAAGAAAAGAGGAAGCAGCTGTATGCACATTTAACAAATACA